TCATGAATGGGAACACTAAGACCGAGACTTGTTAATAATGATGTAAAGCCAGCAGACAAGTTCTAACCATTTCTAGGTTAAGGGTGAGGCTACAAAATTTTAATTTATGTTGTCATCCTTGAATAAGAGTGTTATTCTCATCCTTGGCTTAGGTTGGGGAATATTGAAAACAGTCATAATCCTGAACCCTAGCCAATAGTTACCTAGTTCAGTATGATTTTTGTTCTGGAGGGATTAACCATGAATTTTACGCATTTGGTAGGGCATAGAATTCTTTTTCAGTGTATGTCCTTTGAAGTTAACTCAATTAATTTGTCAAATGATGTGCTACCTTGATATTTGATGCCAGTTCTTCAATTCTCATACCCCGTGTGGGATTTTTCAGTTGAAACAATCCTACCATTGCTAAGGTGAGCTTCAATTTGTTCCGATACATAGTTTTTGTATATTCCCTCTTTTAACTTTTTATCTCCACACAAAATACAGAAAATTCAAAGTGTCTATCTCTTTTCTTTAGTTCCTGGATACCTATCCAAACAGTTTATGTTTATGTACCTCTATCTAGGCTACCCTCATGTCCTGAGAGCAAAATTATATATTCCCTTTGACAGTCTGTGCTAAAAACTGATGTGGGAAGAATCTGGAAAAAGAAATATTTGGGGGAATATTAAAAAGGCAGAAACTTCTCCCTCCCCTCAGCCAAGAAATTCAGCAGAAACCAGCTTTTAGAAATGCAGATGTAATAATCCATTCAGGAAAGTTGGGGCCAGGAAGCTAGAAGCTATGAGATTAGGAAGACAAAGACCTCTAAAATCTACATACCCTACCCAAACTCTAAAAGACATGACCTTTGGGGACATAATAAGATTAACCCACCAATACCAAAAGGGTACACTCAGATTCAGGTCAAAGTACATGACACAGGAAATACAAAGCCTCAAGTTGGAACAGGAAACAACCTCAAGAACCCCAGAAGGTATAAAAACCCACCACTCCCAGCAACATGTGGTTAGCTTTCCCAGAGCCATCTTTCTGTCTGGCTCTCCTCTTCAATAAACTACAACCTTCTTTCTAAAGCAGTCTCTATTTTGTTTATTCCCAGCTTGGACTGGACTGATGAAGATTTTTCTTTCTACACTGACAAATGTCTTACTTAGTGGAGACATGGTTGCATCTCTAAGACATGAAGTCATTAATGAATTGGTCAGCAATAACAGACATTTGAATCTAGAAGAAGCATGGCCTTAATAATTTGCCATTTAGAGAGGATACATTTTTAGGGATGAACAACAGATGCTATAACACTTTAAATAAGTATATGATTAAGCCTAACTTGACTGTTTTGCAAGACACCTAACAATACCAGAAAACTAAATCCTGGTCTTTATTTTTTCCTGCTCATTATAATGGCAAAATAAAGAAATATTTATATCATTTCTGTACTTTATGACACTAGGGTATGAAACTTGGAAGTGCACTTCTTTTAAGTGAATGCCAAATTTTAGGTCAGCCAAATTTCAGGAAAATTATGAACAAGGAAAATTATACCTGGAATCTTTACATTTTAATTCTAAAACTTTTATGAATGGTTTCTAGCCAGGATTAGATGACGTTTTCAGGTCTAACTGACCTTTCAATCAGAATAAAACAAACAATTAATAAAGATAATTTGTGTGGAAAAGAATTTATTTGAGGCTTGGGTTGATCAGAAAATACTGTAATAATTTTTATTTATTTTTATTTTGAGAACATAGATGAAAATAAGATACAGTGTAGAGAAGCAATAACTTCTTTGTATAACATTGCATACCTGTACATGAGTATACATAACAATGAACGTTCCATCCTTTTGCTATAGATGTTCCTGGCCAATACTAGATTTTAACTGCAGGAGCAAAAATAGATATTTGTACTTGTGATGCTGCAATATTTTTTCCAACTCTTAAATTTCAACAATAAGAATAGTATTATTATATTACTATTATATGAAGCATATAGTAATACAGTAAGCATAAGTATTAATAATTCCACAAGCAATGTATGATGATGATGGTGATGGTGGTGATAATGGGATCTGTATTCTGATGGCTCTAGTGGGAAACTGCAGGGTGTGTGGTCAATGCCTCATAGGGAAAAAGAATGATGTTGGAGAACTATTACAGTATTTCCTTCCTTTGAGAGGAAAGCTGCTCAGAGAGACTGTGGCTCTGGTTGCAGAATGTCCTAGAAGAAATATATTATCTTTGACCTACTATATTTCAGGTTGCAGACCAGGAAATGGCACAAAAAAACCCACATTTGTTTCATTGACTATGCAAGCTGATAACTTACGTTGGGGGCCAAAATGGGGGAATGTTTCCCTCCTGGCCTTCTTGGACCTCTCTGAGGTATTTGATATGATTGACCATGATATCTTCTGGACTGCCTCTATTAAAATTAAAAATGCTGCTTTATAGCAATTCCACACCTTCCCAAGTGATCTCATTTCAAGGGCAGGGGAAAAGAGATAGCTTGTAATTGCTTCATTGTGAGGTACTGGACAACTCTTCTATCTTTCTCTTACTTTTTAAAATATACATGAAGCTTCTAGAGAAAGTCATGTCTTGCTTTGAGTTGATGTATTTTTCAATATGATGATACCCATTGGTACAACTCCACTCCTGGCACTGCTCATAGTGTGGAGTGGAACAGCTTCCACCTAGAGATCTAGATGGTCCCTCTTTGCCAAGATTTAGAAAGACCATAAAAAACAGCTGTTCAAAAGAGATTTTATTGATTACAGCTTACCACTGGGAGATGCCAAGGTTAGTGTTAAACTGGAAACTATAGATTATTGCTGTGCAATTTTATTCCATATTGTATTGTGATTTATTTTGTGTACCAAAAGGATTAAGGAGAGTTGCAATATAAAATAAGTGAATAAATAAACAAGCAGGGGTTTCTTGATTGTATTGGCCTCACCTTAACTAAACATACCCAACTTTAATAACTTATATTGTCTTCATGGCATCCTCAGCTGAGGCAATAGCTGAAGAGTTTAGAGAAGATTTAAAATGGTGTTTTTCCTCCTCTCCTAATATTGGTTTTGGGAGGGCTTTAATCTAGAATGTTTTACAACGATGTGGCTGCTCATGCAGGCAGGAATGGCATCATCCCAAGTTCTGTTGGTCGTTTGTGCCTGCTACAATATGCCTCTCGCCTCTGATCACTGGGAACTTTTGGATTGTTTATCTGTTTTCTAAAATACAATTAGTTGTATCAAAATGGCACTTCTATTTGCAAAAGTGTATGAGATGTAGCAGGGTTGAGAGACTCTTCTTTTATTACATCTTCCCCCTTTAACCCATTATATACCTGGAGGACTTTTGAATCACAGGAAAAAAAAAAACAAATCAGCAAAATATAAACTTCTCTTTCTCTAATGTAAATGTCCCGTGAACAGCACTCTGGACTGACTCAGTATTAAGTTTGTTGCAAATCATTTCCTTTCAGATTCAGAACAAAAGAAAAGAAAAGATGTTTCTTGATTTCATTTATTTTAATATATGTGTTCACTCTGCCAGCAGACAGTACTCATCTAATGGGAGAAGGCTGGTTACAGTTAGACAACTGCAACTTTCATTATCTTTCCCAAAAGTCCAATTCCTTTACTTTAAGTGTTCAAGAACGTAAAATGTGATCTCTAAACACAAAAGATATATGCAACTTCCTCTAATTATCCTTATATTAAAATTTTCCCCAATGTATTTTAAATTATTTTTAATCTTGATAAGAAGGAATGCAAAAGCCACAAAAATGGCAATAACCCCCTTCCCCAATTATTTGTAACATTTTTTCATTAGTGTGTTGATTAAAGAAAGTATTATAACCGCAGGGTAGCAGCTAGACCTAATGTGGATTTATGTAGATTCATTTTTTAAAAAATCTAATTACATTTTGCTCACATCATAAGAAATACAAAGGAAATTCCTCTTTGTTGTGGTTTGGATTTCCTCATCTTGTGTAAATCTGCTCCCAATTTAGAAACACACATTAGGTTCTGCTCTCAAATTTTCATTACATCTTGTTTTCTTCATTGGATTTAGAAAACATTTTTGAATTGACCATGAGGCAAAATGGCTGAAAAAACACAGTCTGTTGGAATATTCTGGATAAAATCAATGCTTTCTTGTAGAAATGTTTATTTGATTTATAATTTTCAATGAATAACTTAAGGAAAAAGGTTGTACTTAGCTTCTGTAAAAAAAAAGGGGGGGGAATATAAATAAAATTGCCAGATGTCTTATACCTTTATGATATAATTAGAATCCAGTGGGGGGGGGTTCTGTGTGTCCCACCACAAGTTGGGAACTGGAAGCAAGAAAATGTGCTTAAAATGGCAAAAAATAATGACAGGCATGATAAAAATTTTATGCACAGTGTGAGGAGAGTTGGTTTCTTTCAAATCACAGAGTTGTCTAATGAAGCTGAGTAAAGAAAATTCAGAAGAGGAAAAAGGAATCTTTTTTCACAGAAAAGATGTTATGGGATTTATTGGTGAACAATATGATAATAGCCAATAGCTCTAATGTGAGATTAAATACTTCTGCCAAAGAAGGCACTACTATTTAATTAGCTCACAATTTTCCTTAGTACCCTCTCTCATCATATCTGTGCAAAGGAGCAAAGGATATCAGACTGACAGAAGCAATGTTGTGACATTGTGATGCAAGTCCTGTTCCTTTTATACGCATGTTGCAACAGATCGTCTCTCAACCTCTTCAGGTCTGAACAAAAGAGAAACCGAAATGTTCAGAAGTTTGAATTATATCAGGAATGGATATAATTCTCTCTCTCTCTCTCTCTCTCTCTCTCTCTCTCTCTCTCTCTCTCTCTCTCTCTCTCTCTCTCTCTCCCTCTCTCTCTCCCTCTCCCTCTCTCCTCTGCCAGAATTAACATTAAGGAAAAGCAGCAATTACTTGTTTCACCACCAAGGAAACAAAGGAAAGATGAACCAAAAGGAAGGAATATAGATGTATTTATTAAATTCTACCAGTTATTAAAGTTTATCAGTGGTTTACAGTACAATTATTAAATCAATGTTAAAATCAGTATAATCAGCAATTAAAGACCTACCTATTTGAAAAAAATGAGTGAGCATCCTCAAATTAATAGAGTTCATTCCAAAAGCTGCAAGGAAAGGATCAACCCTAAATGGTTATGAAATTAATTTGCAAGAACAAAGGATTAACATCCTCAGAAAGTCATAATTGGAAGGAGAAGGGTTATGTGGAACACATTATTTGGACAAATTGGGCTAAGCCATAGTAGCCTTTAAAGGTAAGAAGCACCACTTCATATCTGAAAACAAACTGGAAACTAACATAGGACTTCCAGCACAGGTGAAGTCACTTGAGTTTTTCCAAATAACAACTAGCTAATATTTGGTTGAGTCCCACCAGCTTCTCTACTACTTGTCTAACCACCGAACTTACAGATTTTGTAAAAATGCCTATTGTACAAATAGCTTAGTAGTGCATGGCTGACTGTAATGAGTAATGAAGCAATAATAAGAAAATAGACATTTGTCTTCTCTTGGTTGTTCAGTAAGGCTTCATCTGGTTGTTTACATATTAGGAAATTTAAGAAGATTGTTTTTATTTGAGGAAGGGAGAAGTGCAGGGAATAAAGGGAACAATAAGTCTCTGGACTTGGTAGTCCACGAAGTACCATTGAGTACTGGCTGGCAGTGGTCCAAAAGCAGCATCCATTTCTCTAAGCATTTCTTGGCATTTATTTAGGGAGGCCAGCATCACACAGATCAACAACCCAGAAGGGCTTTTGACAGAGAAAGAAAACTAAGTTGTTCTGTTTGTTGAATGCCTTCCACATATGCTTTTGGTTAAGAAAAATGCAATAAGATATTGGGACAGTGAGTACAGTTTACATCAGTCGTTTACTGTAATCAGTCTAATGTTTCAGGCATCAATGAGGTTAACTTGTTTGCATTTAATGTTGAAGTAATTATTCCCTAATTACATCAATTTGTTTTCTTTTAAAAAAAATTAAGCCAGCGCAATAAACCTTTCACTCTCTACATTGAAGGAATTTTTTTGACACCAGTTTTAATATAAGTTGCTCTAACTGCATAATATCCAAATGTAAATATGTCAGGTGTATTTCTAAATTGCCTTTGTCAAGGAGTAATCAGCATTAATCTGTCTTTCCTGGCAGACTATAAAGAGCCAAACATCTTTGGGAAATGCCGAGTTGAGTCATCTTGCCAGATTTAGATATCTTTAATTTGTTTCCTTTAGCACAAGAAATCTGTTAGCAGTCTTCTTATGTTTTCTTCCTCCTGTTTGCTCATATATTTTAAAACTCATTTAACCTCATTCTGTCTTAGTGATATTTTAATTTCAATGCAGCTCATGCTGACAATCATGGTAAGGATAGAAAAATATTTACAATTGATTGAAATTTCATTCCTGATCAGCTCTGATCACCCAGAACTGCCTAGCCAAAACTTTTGAACCCTTTGGGGCTTGGTAATTGAATTCTAATGTCTTTTTCTTTCCCCGACTCTAATTACAAAACTGCTTTGCTTTTGTTCTTATTTCCATTTGTAGACTGTCTTTTAACTACACAGCTATATACAACTATAGGTACATTTTGAAATGTTGAAATGGATAATTCCTAAAGCAATTTGTGACAAAATAGAGTTATATCTCTGCTTATTCTGTGTTAATCTGTGTGTCTCATATTAATCTAAATTCACACAACCATCTGCAACAAGTGTTACTAGGAACATGTGTGGTGTGGAATTTTACTATTTTTTTCAGTTAATGGAAATCCAGTATTTGTCAATCTCTAATATATATTAAAATTCACAATTGGTTACTTAGATGATTGTATCAAATATTTGCCTATTCCATACATTAGGTCTTGAATCTTTGTTGTTCATTAAAAAAAAACAGGTATAATATTATGTGGAAACAGAATGTGCATCGACTGATCTGTTAAGAATCAAGTAAATATATAAAGTTATATGAGTTGCAGACAATAAAAAACACTTCATAGCACACTATATTTTTAATCTAAAATGTTTAAATTCAAAGTTTAGCATTATAAAAAAGTATCAAATTCTAAGTGAGAAAAGTTTTTTTTTTAAAAAAAACATAAACATTCCTATGCATATGGTTATCTCCTTATGCCCAAACGTCTGGATAAAAACTCATTTTATATTGCTCAAATTGAATCTGAATAAAGTCATCCAGTCACACATTATTAGGCAATTTTAAATGCAAATATAAATACAATATAGAGACAAAATGAGAACACAATCACCAAAAGCTATTCTACATATTATCTAGCAAACTTCTGTTAATGAATTGAAAAGAATATTGGTCACTTTTAACAATCACAGCTACCCTATTTACTTTCTTAATACCGTATATACAATCAGTTATTTTATCCATTTGGTCTCTTTGGCTAAAACCTCTCCAAAATTGAAAAGGTAAAGTTTTTAAAAAGATTCTTTGTTCTTTTGGTATGAAGGACACATCTACACATTCTTGTTCCTTTAAGGTATTCTAGAAATGAACTGAAATATCCTACCTCCAACAGATCGGAAGGAAAGGTATGAAAACTTGTAAGATCATCTCCCAGGTGGCAAGAAAAATACCCCAAGGGAGAGCTTGGCCTAATTTCATCTCCTTACCGTAACTGTACATAATTTGTCCAAGTTATAGGTTTTAACTTCATAAGACTTGGGGCTCCTAAGTTGCGTATCTTAGCCTGTCTCTTTGTAAGAAGCAGCGATGACAGACAAGCCTGTTTTACTTACTTACTTACTCCTTACAATTACACTGACAGTGCTAAACAAATGTGTCCTTTTACTGCTATTCTGTGGCTTAACAGAATCAGCTCCCAGTGACAGAATGAACTTTCTTTCCCTTTACTGGCTGACTTCAACTCCCAGAATTCCTCAGCCAACATGCCCAGCTGAGGGATTCTGGGAGTTGAAGTCAATGAGTCATCAAAGGGCTGAGTTGGAAGACCCCTGGATTAAACCATCCCAAAACAAAATGATAGAAACTAAAATAAACATATACTCCTGCCCTCTAGAAATTATAGGAAATAGAAGAAGACAAAATTATGTTTTTTTTTTTTTACAAACTAGTGTGATTGCAGTCTAGCTGTACAACTGTATCTTTAAGAAAAGGTATTCATCTTTTCAATAAAAACACCCTACACATTTCTTAAAATCTCTGTTCTTAGATAAGGTGCATAAATCACCAACACTTTTTAATCTTTTCTGTGGCTTTAAAAACATGCAACCTCAAGCATAGATTATGCAACTTCGTGACTCAGTAGACTTCAGATCAAGCTGGTTCAATAATATTAACGGTTACATAAAAATAAGCAATTCTATTGAAAATGTGTATGTGTGTATGTGTATAAAGGTATGTATGCGCACACAAACACATATACATACTATAAGGCTAGCTTCTACAAGACAGAACATTATTCTTTTCAGAACAGATTAAATGCAAACTTTTACATCTCCAAGACATATAGATTTCAGACAACAAAAAAAGACACATACATTGTATGTGGTAATTGTTTAAAATAAGCTGTTACTACATTTTCACAGATTTTTTTTTAAAAATGTCTGTTTAAATATCTCATTTCTACAAAGTGAATTTACATTTAAAGTACAAAGTGCAAATACTATGGTTGCTCTTTATTGACCTTTGGTGAGGGAGTCTCCCACATGTCCGGGAGATTTGCCTTGGATAGGAAGTGTTCAGCCTTGCTTCTTTGAGGATGGCTGTCAATAAAAATGTGAAAAATAGTATTTCATGTGTATGCTACTATAGTATACATGGTGATATTAAACTAAGGAAGAACAGTTTTAGTAATATTTTGAGACAAATATATTGCAATTAGAATAGAATATTCCATAGTGCTAAATGTATCACAAAAGGATCTTGCAATGATCAAAGGTTTGCACTGCAAACAATTACCTCTTTTTATCCTTTGTTTCAACAGCAAGCAATAAAGTTCTGAAGAGAATAGATTTGCCTCTAGCTACTGTCATAATTGATAGAAAATAAATCTGATGGGTGTGGAAAAACAGCTTTGTTCTGAAGCTCTCCAGATTCCTCTCTCTCTCTCTCTCTTTCTTTCTTTTCCTTCCTTCCTTCCTTCCTTCCTTCCTTCCTTCCTTCCTTCCTTCCTTCCTCCCTCCCTCCCTCCCTCTCTCTCTCTCTCTCTCTCTCTCTCTCTCTCTCCCTCCCTCTCCCTTCCTCTGTGATTGATTCTTTTTGATTACATCTGCTGAGCCACTCAGGTCTGGCAGAGAAGGCATGCTGTAAGTCTCATCTGCCAGGGAATTACATTTGGAGGGTTGCAGGAGGTGGGTCTTCTCTACTGCAGCATCCATCTTGTGGAATCCCCTTCCCCTTCCCAGAAGTGAAATTAGCTCCGCCCCTCCCAACATTCTGCAAGTCCCTCAAAACCTGGCTAAGGTATCTGACTGGTGGGGGGGGGGGCAGGGGACTGCAGAAACTTTGCAATGGCTTCATTACTGTGGTTAATATCATCCTCTTTTGTTTTTGTGCTTTTTAATAATTATTTTTAATAACATCAATACACTTTTACAGGTTTATTTACTTTTTTCCACAATGTACATATATTTTTCTGCATTTTTAAAAATTAAATATTGCATACTGCCCGGAGTTGTTTTCCTATGTCATGGGCAGCTGTACAAATATGATAAACAAATCAAAGTAAGATTTGATTTTTAATATAGAAATGAATATAAAAATCAAACCAGAGACTTTTCTTTTAGGTTTTATGGACAAGGAGCTTAAAAAAAAAATCTGAAACTTTGTTGTTGTACACGTTGACTGCTCTGTGTGCAAAAATGGAAAGATACATTAATTCCCACAATGGAAGGGTAGCTGGAAAAATTGATGTTGCTAGAGACATGGCCAGATTAACTGCTTTAATCAAAGAAAAGAATGCATCCAATTTTTGTTTCTACTTGGAAACTGCTTCTAGATTTTGTGTTTGAGACAGAAAAAAATGAAACTAACTTTGGGATTTACCAAATAGAAATGTTTGTTGTTACAGAAATAGCTAGTATATACTAAGTAAGCAAAGTAAAAAGTTGAGGTTGCAATATTGCTTTTAATCTATTGTGCTAAAAAGAGTTGGAAGTTAATGTTTCTTTTCTCTTCACCTCATACTTCCCTCTTCTCCTTTTCCCTCTTCCTCACTTTTCTACTACCTTTATTTTTTACTTGTGGTTTATAGTTTGATAAGCTTAATTAAAATCATATTTAAAAATAAATATGGTAAATAACTACATAAATAAATTTCCTTCCATAAGAACAAACTCCATCTATAAATGTAATTTTCACCTCATACCTGGGGCTGAAATCAGACTGCCATATATCCTCTAGAGACCTTTGCAACCCCCATATAGACCTCTATAATTGCAACTCTATTTAACTTTCTCAAGATCTAGGCTAGGCCTCTTAAGAAGTAAGGAAACCAGTGCTTCTTTCAGAACTCCTGGAACCTCTCCTTCATTTTTGATTACTGCCTGGATTCAACTCTTAATTCTTTTATGGATGCTTTAATCAGCTAAGTGAGTGAGACTGCACATGTAGTTGAGCTAAGATCACTTCCCTGAGATTCACAGGTTTACAGAGTTTACAGAGAACATAATAAGACATCACCTTTGCAATCTCAGCAGATTGCACCTATCAAAGCAAATGCAAGTGATATTATCCACGAAATGTTCAAACAGGTTACTGCAAGTTATATCAATTGGTTATTGTAGCCTATATTTTCCTAAGAAAGTTTGAGCCACATTAACAATACAGTTGGCTGACATTCCACAGATGCATAAATAGGGTCGTGGAAAGAGTTGTGAAGCTTATAGATCTAATAAATGCTTCCCGGTTGCAAGAATAGGCTTGAATCAGAATTGTCCCTATTTTGGCCACCCCAATTTTTCATTTTCTAATAGGGTTGCTTCAGGTTTCTCTTCGTCTATTTCATTTCCCAAAGTTAGGTGGCCAGGTAAAGACTCTGCATTCAGGAGAAGCTCAGAAAAGTCCAGTGGAGTCTTTCATATTTTCTGAGCTTGGTTGTTGCTTGCAGACATTTCATTATCTGGCTAGGTCATGTCATCATTTCTCTTTTATTGGTATCAGAAAAAAGAACCTGTCCAGCAACCTGGCCATATTTGTATTTCAGAATAATATGGTATCCATCAGGATTAGGCTTTAACTTTTGAGAAAATCATGTGCTCTCTGAAATCAGCCCCTCTCCCTGCACAGTCTCTGGCTCTGGTTAATCACAAGAAAGAGTTTGTTGGTAACATCATCTGGAACTAAATCATATAACATAAACTTCAAGTTAAAGGCGAGATCTTATGTGTGTTGTGCTGTTAGATTTTTTTTGCAGATAAACCTGATGTTCAAAAGTAACCTAAATCCAAGGTGTTCAGTAATCTGGATATCTGGCTCATGGCTCGAGAGGGGGCCCTGGATCAGAGAGTGCACTAATTTTCTCTCTTCCCATGAACCAGTTCATGGCAACATTTCCTGCCATACTTCCTCTGGCTTAGCCTTATTCTTATCTTCTCCTTTTCTGATCCACTTAGTAACCTAGCTTCTGGCCAATCAACCAAGGGCCAGCTAAAAATGATCTTATTGATGTCCAATTACAACAGAGCAGAATAATCTCATCTAATAGCTATTCACTATCAAATCATGCATGCAAACTCCATCTTCTAATAACAAAAAGTTGGCCCTCTTCAGCTTCCCATAGATCTAACTTCAGATGCACTGGTTCTGATTCTTTGGAATCAGAGGAAACAGGGAGAAACCCACTTTCACTGTCTTCTTACTCCAGGGCAGGGGCCCTCATCTGTTTTCCAACTCTTCTTCAGGGAACAGATAATTCTATCCTGAAGTCTTCAGCATTTTCCCTTCATAGTTCTATATTTGTGTGGATGAGAAGATGAGACCTATTTCTTTCTCAGAGGTCAGACTATAGTAAAAATAAGGCCGTTCAGATCTCCTGTATCACACCACTTCACAATAGCAGCCACGATACCTCAGGTACAAATGTTTTCCCCTGTCACATTATAGAGAAAAGAAAAATGTCTTTCTCTGTTCAATTATATTTTAGCCTAGTCCTTTTTCATAAATGCTAGTTTACCGAATGAAGGCCATTCAAAACTATGACTTCTCACCCGCAGTCTGAAAGCATTTTAGACCACAACACTATCACTCCAATTTACCACTTCACTGTTCATAATGTGTGTATTGAGTCTTAGATCATTTATGGCCCATTCCCTAATGGAAACAGAGCTGATTGTTGTCTTTAAGGTAAGTAGTTCCTTTTTAAATGTTTTTTTTTTTTTTTTTTTTGGTGAGGCAGATTCAATTCTAGAGCCTTCCTTTCAAGCCAGGGCTCTCCTAATGAAAGCCCCTTTTGGCATCTGTGAGGACCCTTTATGGCCTCCCATTGCTGTAGCAGTTAACTGCCAACAGATGGTTTGTACAGCTAGGGCCATTTCAAGGCTATCACTTCACAAGGCGAGCTTTTAAAATAATTGCAAATGAGTCAGCAGAAATATTGGATCAAATAATTCTTTAAGAAAAAGAGAGAAAAGATAGCACTATTGCACTATATCCTTTACATGTTATTAGATGACTGGAAAGCTGGAGGAGGCCAGAGGGGAGAAAAATAAAGCCAACTTTGGATTTGAATGAAGAGTAAGTCACATGCGCATAGCCACAACAATTACATAATCAAAATAAATGGTTGGAGCAGTTCTAAGAGTCAGGGTTTCCAGGCCATCTTGCTCAAAATGTAAGAGATATTTAGGGAATTAAATCACTGAGTGATGTAGAAAAGAGGGAATTGGACTCTGTGAGATTCTTCCAAAGGTGTAAAAAAAACCTTCACTAAATTCTCACTAGCTTAGAGAGGATAAATGCCAACAAAGTGGCGGAAAATGAGAAGCATATAACCTGGTAGCTAGTTTCTCTCCTTGCAGAGATGGCTTTGGTAGCTACTTCGTGAATGCTTTCACACTTCAGTGTGGTTGCCCAACCAGGCAAATTCCAAATGCTATCAAGAGAATGGAAAAGTTATTTTCTCCCTCCCCCCTCCTATATTTACCTGCCTGTTAGAAGGAGTACTTTCAGCATGTCTTCTGGGAATTGCTGAGGAGCAAAAGAGACGGGAAGTTATTTGAGAGTAAGCAGGATTCTATGCAACAATTTAAACAGACTTTAAATCTTTTAGATATTCATTTCAGTTATTCCTTAGCAACAGAACTAGATGCTATAAATCTGATGGTCTTGCTTCGCTTGTGGCTCCTGATCATAGAGCAATTCTTCCACTTAGCCACCAAAACCTCAGGCTGAAATTAGACTGGAGATTCAGCTAGCCCAATTACAGTATTTACAGCCAGGCAAGAGTAGAGAGGCTAGAATGGTTTATCTGCACAATAATGAACTGTGGAGGGATTGTGCTTATTCACTTTATAATTTTTAAATTAAAATGCATCAGGGTGCTCCCATTTCCAAGAGTAAAAACCATGATGCATAATTTGTAGGACTGTATATATTTACCTATATTAATCTATATTTCAATTTGCCAACATTTCCATATAAAAATTACACTCACTCACTCACATATGAACATAAGATTTGGAAGGACTTCTCTGTAATGAAGTAGCTTTCAGTAATTCCAAACACATTCTTTTTCCAGTTGTGCCTTTGCATATTTGCACAAAGATTTCTAAGTTAAGACAAATTAATGATCAACAAGCAATAGATCCGTCTATCATTCAGGAAATGGAGGGGAATAATCTTTTTTCCCAACCCCATCTCTTCTGCTACTAAGATGTACCCCAAAAGATGAAGCATGAAAGAAACCTCAGGCGCTATCAAAAGAATCTGATTTTCTAATCCCATCTCTATGTCTACTTTTTTCTGCTTTCTGCAGTTCTCCAGCTGTCCCTCTCCCTTGTGTTCTGAAGTCAGGGCTGTGGTAGCTGGACTTAAAAAAAAAAAAAAATCCTAAGCAACCAATCAATGTAAGCATAAGGTCAGAGTCCCCTGCATCTCCTTGCATGCACATGTATTTATGTGTATACACACACATACATATTTGCAAAAAAGACATACTCTCAGAAATTATGCTAAGCCTCAATTCTTTTCTGCTTTCAGGAAAAACATTCCACTTCATTCACATTTTTTGTAAGCTATATTAATAACAATTCAGGAAGGTCTCTAAGGTAAGGTAAAAAAAAATCAAGATGGTGGTCATGGCAATGTGATTGAAGCTTTGTTTATTTTGTATATGTATTATAATAATTTTATCCGCTTTATGGAATTCTAAAGGTTTCTATTTCTTTTGATGAATAACTAACAGTTAAATTTCATGACACATCTTTAACTTTTAGTAAGGTACTTTCTCCCAGGCTGAATAGTGTCTAATAGGAATAGCATATTTTGTACATGCTCTTTTTCTGAATGCCAGATGACATTTCTTGCCAGAACATTCTGCTTTAAACTTTTGCTCATTTCCAAAATTTATTTTGCTTTTTATTGTTTTAATGTCTGTCTTTAAGTGTCTGTCTTCTTCAAGTGTTGTGATGATAAATGCCATTTTATATGCAGTTCAAAAAGCACAATTCACACTTGAGAGTAAGCTATTAGCTAGGCTGGGAGGGGACATCCTTTTGCAGAAACACAACAATGTTTAACCTTTTTTGCAAGTTACTGGAAAGATTCCCAAACAATTCAGTAAGAACTGAGCTGATTATTGAAAGTGGGAATAACAGCTGGGGATGACATGGGGGCAAAATAGAGGCAGTACCAGGGTGTCATCCCTCAAAAGAGCTGAATAGTTTTCAGGCCTTGCTAACAACCATCCTAAATCTGGGCTACAAATAACTCTTTAAGGAATAGACGAAAGCAAACTCCACATTGATGTTGCCTACTCATCTTATTCAGTAGCAGTTAAATCATTGTTTTTCAACTCTGCAAAGTGTGATTTCAATTCACTGACTAGGGAATTCTGGCTGGGTAGGGAATTCTGGGAGTTGAACTCCAAACATCTTAAAGTTGCCAAAATTAAAAAACAACATTGAGCTACACAGTTCAAGAGCTAGAAAGAAATTCTACTTACCATGGCGTTTCTTTGTGTCTGCTTTATTGTCTTCTTTTGTTACACCTAGACAACCCATTAGTTCTGGAACTGTCAAAGATTTGTCATTGTTCACATCACAGTATTCCACAAACTTTTTCACACATTTTTTGGGCTTGGATTTTTTCCTCAGGAATTTCTTAAAAGGTTTGATTTCTTTTTTGCCAATGTCGCCACTGGCATTTTTATCTAGTTGCTTAAAATACCAATGAACAACTCTTTCCTCCAGAGTATGGTTTGGATCTGGTTCTGAAAGCCTACAAAAGAAGGAGTTCATTAATTGGTTAAATGATGGAAAGTGAATAGTAACATTTTGGAAAGTAGAATTAAGGACAAAACTGAATTTTGTATTTTAATTCAGTTCAATTAATAACTGTGTGCATGCACATATGTGTGTGCCTTCAGGTCAGGGTTGACTCCTGGTGACTGCCTAGACAAGTTCCTGCACTTTTCTTGGCACAGTTTTGGGGAAGTGATTTGTCATTTTTTTCGATAAAATAGATCACAACCTACTTCTTGGTAAGCTAGAAAAAAGTGGGATAGACAGATCACCACCAGATGGATTTGTAACTGGCTGGCAAACCGTACTTAATGAGTAGTCCTTAATGGTTTTGCATCTATACAGAGGGAAGTAAGCAGTGCGGTACCAGAAGGTTCCGTCTTAAGCCCAGTATTCTTCAATATCTTCATAAACAAGAGATGAGGGAATAGAAGGGAAACTCATCAGATTTGCAGATGATACTAAGCTGGCAGGAATAGCCAACACCCTAAATGATAAGCTCAATATCCAGATGGATCTTGACAGACTTGAATACTGGGCCCTATCAAACAAAATGAAATTCAACATAGAGAAAACTAAAGTCTTACACTAAGGCACGAAAAACCAAAAGTACATGTACAGATTAGATGAAACCTGGCTTAATAGCAGTAGCTATGAGATGGATATTAGACTCCTATTGGACAATCAATTAAATATGAGCCAGCAGTGTGCAGCAGCAGCCAAAAAAGCCAATGCAATTCTATGTTGCATTAACAGAGGGATTGAACCAAGACCACATGAAGTATTAATACTGCTCTATAAAGCCTTAGTAGGGCCACACCTAAAATACTGCATCCAGTTTTGATCACCACACTATAAAAAGATGTTGAAACTCTAGAGAGATTGCAGAGAAGAACAACTAAGGTGATTAGGGGCCTGGAGGCTAAAACATATGAAGAACGGTTGCAAGAACTGGGCATGGCTAGTCTAGTCAAGAGAAGGACCAGGGGAGACATGATAGCAGTGTTCCAATATTTGAGGGGCTGTCACAGAGTAGAAGGGGACAACCTATTTTCCAAAGCACCAAAAGCCAGACAAGGAACAATGGATGGAAACTGATCAAAGAGAGATTCAACCTAGAAATAAAGAGAACTTTTCTGACAGTGAGAACAATTAACCAATGGAACAGCTTGCCTTCAGAAGTTGTGGGTGCTTCATCACTGGAGGCTTTCAAGAAGAGACTGGACAGTCACTTGTCAGAAATGGTATAGATATGGTCTCCTGCTTGAGCAGGGTGTTGGACTAGATGGCCTACAAGATCCCTTCCAACTCTGTTATTCTTTTATTCCTGGGACTGAGAAAGAGGGACCAGCTCAAGTTCATTCAGATGGCTTTATTCCTAAGATGGGACTGGAATTAATGGTCTCCTGGTTTCTAGCCTGGTACCTAAACTTCTATCCTAAACTAGCTCTCTAATTAAACATGACTACTGATATTTTAAACATTTTTTTTCTTTTGGTCAATTCAAAATAATACTTTTATCATAGCTTCTGGCAATCTTGGGCTCACCCAAAGCTTTGGGGAGTGGAGAATGACCTGAAGCCTCAATTACTGTGGGTCAAACTTAAGTGTTTAAGAGCTACACTACATTCCTCTTCATTACTTTCTCATGCCAAGCGGTAATACACACTAGAATATATACAACAATCCTGAAACACTGTACATTGCATGGGAAAATAAATAAACTGTAGATAAACGTCTTTGCAGATGAGGTTGTCCACCATTTGTCTTCTCTCCTATAAACTCTTGAATGACTGGCATGGAGAAAAGATGAAAAATCTCAAGTTAATTCTTCTTCAAAATATTTTAAAAGGTTATTGTTTGCTTTTTTTAATACCTACACTTCAGTTCTATATAGTTTTATTATTATGTTCAGTAGGACTAATGCTAGAATACATAACATTTAATGTTATTAAAGCAAACAAGTTATCACATGCATCAGTACATAATTTCCATATTATAGGCATGTTGTGAATAAAAAATATTTTCATTGTCTCTGCTTTCTTAGATCACATTTGCCAGTCACTGTGACCTATGTCTCAATTCTGTTTTTTGAAGTCCAAAACACAAAGGTATTGCACTGTAAATAACTAGGTGAATTGTGGATTTTAAATTCATTTGGTTTCAAAAGATTTTCATTGGGAAATGAGAGTTTGAATTCAAGCTAAATAAGCCAGTTTTGTGGGATCTTTGGTGCTAAAATATTTTTTCTCTTTCCCTTCCTTCTTAAATCAAATTTAGTTTTTTTAAACAGTGAAAGACAAACTATATTAACACAAAAACATACAGTACAGTAGTGGTTATGCAATGAAAGAAGAACTTGCATATATTACAATGATTAAAATAAACTAATAAAAATATTAAGAACCTAATAATAAAAACAAAAAAAATCTATATAATATCAATTTAATATCAATATGGAAACAGTTGTCTTTAAGTTTGCTATTAAATCAAGACCAAATAAAAACAGATTGCTCCATCTCTCATCCATCTTTGAATATAAAGACTTTTCAAAGATAGCTACTGTAAGAAACTCATGATATCTTGAATCTTTTACTTAATATCAAGGAGCTGTTTATTTCTTATTGCTTAAGATTATCATAAAACTTTCCATAAAAGGGCAAATCCATAGTAAAGTTTAACATCACATTTACATCTTTAACTGTTACAGCTTTTTGACAATATATTTTAATATCTGTTATGATTTAAAACCAAAACAAAGCTATGACTGGACAAAACCAATTCATATTCATTAGTAAAAAGTATTAGTAAAAAATTCTAATAATGCCAGCACAAAAAATATGAATTGTATTTTTTTAAATGTCTTTGAAGAAAATAATATTTTTTTGGTCAATTAACTTCATTTTTAAATTGTGGGACACATGTTTTACATTTCTTAAATCCTGGACACATTGATTTTCAAGACTGAATATTTCACTTCTTCATTCCACAGTTTTTATATATAAACAATAATGATCTTTATTCTATTTTTCATTCCAAATGAAATTGAATTGTTCATTTCACTTTGTCCACTGTATATCTTAAAGTTCTTAAGATTGCAGGTATTAATGGGGCTACTAAAACATCTGGAATGTACTGTTTTGTCAATAATCCACCTCTCTCTCTCTCTCTCTCTCTCTCTCTCTCTCTCTCACTCTCTCTCTCTCTCTCTCTCTCTCTCCACCATAATCTATTAGGATCCCCAATGGTTTACAAAAAATATATATATTTAAAAACAGAATTAAAACTGAAATAATACCACAAATCCAAATCTATCTCATCACTTCTCCCTAAACTCAGTTTACCAGTCTCCAGAGGCCTTCAACTTACTTTGCCTCAAAAAGGGGGCTGTTTAAAAGTATAGGGCTGCAACAGAAATGCATATCCCTTCATGTAAAAAGATTTAAATTTGTTTTTTTCTCTAGCCACCCTTTTTTCAGCAACTTAACTTTTAAAAGTGTTTTGTTATTTGACAGTTGGCAGGCAGCAAGTTAAATGCAGATTTAATCTCATTTAAAACTTAAACTCTTAATTAATTATGTCAGTGAGTTTGTTTTAAGCTGATGAATTCTGGATCTTACATAGATATCCTAGCCAACCTTATATAAAACACACAGAGATGTACTAGTAGATCCAAATTTGTCTTCTTACCCACCACTCCTCCAGAGTAGAGTCTGGAATCTTTAATTTCCACAGTCCTATGGCCCAGATCCAACAAGAGTACTTCCCATTCAATCTGGTCAAAACTGAGTTAGTCACACACAGATTAAGTTGCTTTGCTTTCAAAGCTTTTTACTTTAAAGTAATTTTAATTGGGTCTGTTGTGCTAAATTTTATTTTTACTGTTGACATTTCTATGCCACTCTATTCCAAACAGTGCTGAATGTTATACAACAACAGCAGAATAAAAACAGCAGGAAAAAAAACCCAAAAATAATGTAAACCATACAAGATCTGATGCTTTATATTCCAGTTTGCTGCATCAAAAAGAAATAATATCCAATAATGATTGCTTTCTGCTTATATGGACCAAATTCGTACTATGATTTTATTTGTCATGGATGAAATGTAGGTACTAAAAACAACAAAAACATGCAATGTTATTGTGTAAAATACAGCTCTTTTTTAAAATGATTTATTTAATTCTTTAATTTCTGTTATTGCACCAATAATTTTCAGCCATTTCAAATGGACAAGTGGTGAATGTTCAAAAGATAGAGAGGCCTTTAATCAGCAAGGGAATGCTGATAAACACCACAGAACCAGCCGGAGAAGTAAAAATAGTTTCTCTGGCAGCAAAATCCTGCATAGGTTTTGCAAAAAGAAGGAAATGTCCACCCTTTTTGGGAACGAACCACCCACCTGCTGGAAGACACTGCAGGATCAGAGACAGCATGCACCATATCTGTGGAAAGTGCATCTAGAACACTGGTCAGAAATTCATTCTTTTTGGCACCAGGACAACCTAAAATGGGGAAAAAATATCTCCTTTATTGTTTGCATTATTTTAGTTTGCTTTATTGAAGAGCTGCAATTGAGCTGAAAAGGGATATCATGGCATTGCATTTTAGGATTGCTCAGAATCTGATCCTGGGTGAATCATCTGTTTTATCATCTTCGATAGAACAGAGAAAAAGTTCATAATTTTGCAAAATGAAGCTCAGGTTATTGAAGTTATAATGTTGCCAAAGATAATTTTTACTGAGTCTAACAGAAATTTGATATAATTTCATACGCTGGTATTACGGTTTTGATGACACCAAAAAGACATATTTTGTGTAATCTCAACCCAATTTCCATCAAGTGGAATCTTCATATTCTGTTTGCTCAAGAATTCTATCTGCCCCTTTTTAATCCTAGAGAAGTTTGTCCTTCAAATGCTTCAGTCTATAGATAACATTTGGAGTTTCTCTCAAATTTTTATTTGGTGCTAGTTGTTCAGTTAACTCTTCCCTTGTCATTGCTATCTAGTTTTGGTTCTACCGCCATCACGACCACCATCCCTTTTCCTTTTACCTTACCCCCATCTCCATCCTTTTGTTTCCTTCCCTTTGAATTTTTCTGCTAAAAGGAGAAAGTATCTCTATGTTTCTGTGTGTGAGAGAGATTTATGAGAGTATGTGGTTAGAATATGCATATGTAGAATCAACTAAATTTATACAAGAAATATTGTATTTCAATACTTAATTAGAAGTCAATAATTTCATCACTATAAACCCATTTCTTTTTCTGTTCTTTTTTTTAGTGTGGCTTTTAACTGGCATTTACATACTTATAAATGCAAATAGGGGTGCGTGTTTGTGTATGGGTTAGTAAAACAAATGTTTATTGGCTGGAAGAGAAATCTTCTAGATAGGTTTTTAGATGGAACTGGTGACCCTTGATGAGCAAGGGAAGAATAATTTTTATTTCCAGTCTTGTTGTGCAGAATTGCGTGTTTCTCTTAAATTCAAGACTATCTTCTTCTCAGGTAAACTTATTAGGGTTTCAAAAAGTAGAAATAATTATAAAATAATTTACAATAAAATATTTTATCAATAATAAAGCCTCTCTATAAACCTACGCACTGAAAACCATACAACAGCTAAAGCCAACAAGCAGGAAAATTGAATAGAAGGCAGCATAGAGTTAATCAAAAGTTCACATAGCTTTGGGCAGATTCATGCATGCCATTATATCTTCAGACTATTGCCAAAGGCAAAGTCTTTAAAGCATAAATATTTCAAACTAATGTCTGACTGCTGGCTTACAACAATAAATTTCAGTATGTTGCTTATTTACTGAAGTATGTCTTGGCACCATTTAGGATGGGGCCAAAAATATGTTCATGTTTTGGTAAAAGGTAACTTTGGGAAAACTCTGGTGGAGCACACTCTCCTACCACCAAGGTTGTAGGATCTGGGAGAGCCAACCAGGTGTGTTCAGATGGGAGTGAGGGAATCAAAAAGCTGAGTGCACTCTGACGTTTTATTTTTGAAAGCAGGCCCATCTAAGAACTACAAATGGTTGGGTTACTGCAGAGCTCTCCAAATCTATCACTAAAATATCTGAACAGACAGTATGTCTGACGCCAAATGTTCCCTCTCTCTACAATAGAAACTTGGCACTGCCAAGGGTGGGGTGAAAGTTTCCTGGAAAATCAGGTGGAGATAGCCAGTTCTGCCAAACTCTCTAGGGACAGGATTGGACTGGAGCTGAAACAACACAAGCCACTGCTTGCCTCACTGAGCCTAACCCACCGCGCTCCCCCGCCAGATTCTCATTAATCTTTCTTGGAGTTCATGTAATAGATAACCTGCAAAATATAGTCCAAACTTTTCTCAACTTTTGTGGGTTTGATACTCAAGGCATATCCTACTGATATCTGTTGTACCTCTTCTGACAGCAAAATTGCCAGTCTTTTACATATAGACAGAATCTATTTAGTCTTAGTCACAATCATTTACTGAAAATTCATGTACATAATTAGGGAATTAATATTTTGTACTAGAGTGCTGCAGTAAGTAAAGCAAATTCCTAACTTATTCATAAAGCTTATTATCCAAACCTTTTATGTCCTTCTCATCTACAGTTTTTATGTTTCTTCATAGGGATCCAGATAATGCTATGCTTTCCCAGTCTTACTATACATATATTGGCAAGGATATAATATATTTATACCTGAACTTAGTCAAAAGGCTGAGAAGTGTTTCTAAAAGTGTAGGGAGCTAGGGGTTAAATTTCTGCCTAGAATAAATCTAGTATTTTCTCTTCCTTTGTGTTTTCTCAGCTGACAGTATTTCTTTAATCTTATACCTGTGACTCTTGATATTTCTGTTGATCCAAAAATTAGATTTTTGTATAACCTAGTGAATTTAAATTGGACAATTCTAATTCCTAATCACGTCATAGTAGGATATATTCAGAATATGAAATATGAAAGAACTAAATGTTTCTGAGGCTTGATGAATAGGTTCATAAATTTTCCCTACCCCATCTATAGAATTAAAAAAAAAACCTAACAACAGAGGGTATCATCATTATCACCATCATCATTTTCCTTCTGGTTTGGAGTTTTTATTGGTCTTACCACCCATACAGCTTTGCCAAATTTGGAGTGTTAATAATTACTTTAAAATATGTCTGAATCATAAAAGTGGCAGTGGAAACAAGGTTTTATGTTGAAAGTGTACTTATTCTATTATTCATGTCCAGCCAAAGGAATCAAGGTTCATAGTACTTTTAGACAAAAGAATGCTTAATTTGTATAAACTGGAATTAGATTACACATTATTCTCAGCAACTCAGTTGGGTCTGAAGTATCTGTGAGAGCTGATGTAGGGCTTCTCAGTATAATGCTCTTGATGATCCCTCCAATATTCAAGATCACAGGATGGTTCAACTATTACTGAAGGAACTTGCACAGAGGTTGCATTGGCTGCCTTAATGAAGAGAATAAATATAGTTTCTGCAAAGGTAAGTATTGTCTCACTAATTTTCTACACCTTTTGGAGGGCACCAAAAATAAATATTATATATTTGGACTCAAAGGAAAGCCTTTGAGAAAATCCTACACTAAAACTTGGGAGTAACAATTTCCCCATTAGCAGGAACATGATTCTCATTGGCTCCTGAGCTAAGATGGTGTCTCCTGCTCAGTGGTCATAGTGTTTTGTCAGCTTTCTCTTCCTTGTTTCCTTAAAAAAGTGCCTTTGAATCACCTTCCCATGAACAACAACCTCCCATGAATGACAAAAAAGGAATCACTGGGTGAGGCAAAGTTAAGGATGGGAAAGGGATGACCAAGTGCTACTCTTTGAGTTCTCTTATTAAATAGCTGAAAAGAAAGAGTGACCCATTCCAGTTATCGTTTAAGAACAATAAAGATTATAGGCTGGTTTCAAACCACTTCTGCAATACTGGGGTGTGGAAATGATGGCATTCTGAAAGTGCCCCAAAAGAGATTGCAACATAGGCATTGGAAAATTTAAAATTTGGATCAGCCCTGTCATAATAGAATTGCTGGCATTCCAATTTATACAATCACTTACTTGTTCAAAAGTGTAGAAAGCATTTTCTGAACTGTTGATTACAGCCCTGGAACCTTATGCAAGTCAACACAGTATAGAATTTCCATCTTTTGGTGTTAAAGAATGATAATGTATAGAATTTCCATCTTTTGGTGTTAAAGAATGATAAACATTACAGAGTGTTAGCTACTTGGCTCCTTTTTTCTATTTCACAGAAAGAGTTATATCCAGTTTGTTCAATTAGCAGTTATACTTTACTGATAAAGGAGAATATTTGTAGCTCAGGGTTGGCACAAGGAATCCTTGGTGCTCTCTGAGCTTGCTTGTTTTCTTGCAGACATGTCATTGCCCAAAGTAGATAACATCATCAGTACTGACTAGCACTGATGATATTATCTAGTTTGGATAATGAAACGTCTGCAAGAAAATAAGCAAGCTCAGAGAGCACCAAGGACTCCTCAATTATACTTCAGTTTGTCATATCACAATTGAACAAGCTTGAAGTTCATCTAAGGAAGAAAAGATATGGTTTTGGATTCTTTTCACCACTTGTCTATCCTGCTGTCATATATGCATAATGAACACTGATAGTGAGATTTATGTTAGAGAATTTATGTTAGAGAATTAAAGGCCTGGAGACTAAAACTTATGAAGAAAGGTTGCAGGATTTGGGTTTGGCTAGTCTAGAGAAAAGAAGGACTCGGGGGGGGGGGGGGACATGATAGCAGTTTTCCAATATTTGAGAGGCTGCCAAATAGAGAAGGGGGTCAATTTATTTTCCAAAGCACCAGGGGGCAGGACAAGAAACAATGGACGGAAACTAATCAAGGAAAGAAACAACCTGGAATTAAAGAGAAACTTCCCAACAGTGAGGACAATTAACCAGTGGAACAGCTTGCCTTCAGATGTTGTGGGTGCTTCATCACTGGAGGTTTTTAAGAAAAGACTGGACAGTCACTTGTCTGGAATGGTATAGAATCTCCTGCTTGAGCAGGGGGCTGGATTAGAAGACCTCTAAGGTCCCTTCCAGCTCTATTCTGATTCTGAAGTGAATTTAAAAAAAAACTGATTTAAATAATGGGAATTAAAGGGGAAAAAAGAATAGAGGATCCATAACAAATAGAATAATAAATGATGAATTGCAGGCAGTAGATCTTCTGAGCATAATTCAGCAAATGATTTTTATTAGGGTCATATCTATCAACCACCTGTGACATTTTTGCTTCAGATGTCCCAGACTGAGCTCAATAGGTTGTTCTACAGTTACTTTCATTTTTTAGAATCAACGATTATTTTCCCATTCTTCAAACAAGGTCTTCTAATAGTAAATTTGGATGGTTGGCTGCCTATTGCTCTAGAAGAAAAATGGGGCCCCAAAAAATTGAAACAGTGCTTTCTATATATTTGGAGAACTCCCCGGGGGCAAAATAGTATATTAATTCATTGCATTTCTTTT